ACAGTCAACATGGTGCCTTTCCCAGCCACACATCCCTGCAGCAGGAACATGGATGATGGCAAACGTGGACTACTACCTAGAGACAGCAGCTGGGGTGCAGAGAGGAGGGGGAGCCATGGGCAAACTGTCTTCCAGCTGGCCTGGATTTGACCCAGGTTTTCTTTAATGTTTCATGTGTGTTAATCTTCCTTCTTGGAAGGCCTTAATGTGCCATGAAGATTGTTGCTCACTCCACTGAGTAGAAGCAAAGTTTTCTCCATGTGCTGTAGCCCAGGCTGCTCCACATCCTCTGTGCCACAAAGGCTCCCTTCTCCATGCTCAGTGGATTCCATCCTGCATTGGAAGATGCACAGCACCATCATGCTTCCGGTTGTTGCAGGTCCAGAAGTTTTGGACAAGGGGGAGTCAGCCAGAAATGCTTCTTTCTTTTCCCTTGGCAGTGATCAACTGTGGTGACCCTGGTGTGCCAGCCAATGGCATCAGGCTGGGCAGTGATTTTACCTACAACAACACCGTGGTGTTCAGGTGCACCCCCGGGTACACGATGGAGTCAGACAGGGCATCTGCTCTGACCTGCACAAAGGACCGGACCTGGAATGGCACCAAACCTGCCTGCAAGGGTAAGACTGGTTGCTGTAAACATGGGAGGCTGCAAGTTTTACAGACCACAGACTTCTTGTAACTTGTGACAAGGTAATAGACAGCAGCTGCTGTGTAGTGCCTGGAGCCCACTGGGGAGCTTCTCTGTCCTATCATTCAATCTGTCCCCTGTGTTTATGGCACTTACACAATTTTATCAACATAGCATGAACACCTTGCTATCTTTGGGTCTATCAATCATCACAATATGCCCGGGAGGGAGGTAATTGCTATTATCCCTGTAGCAGAGAAGGAAGAGTGAAGCACAGAGAGTGAAGTGACTTACTCCTCACAAAATCCCCATCAGATAGGAATGAAATGCAATGTTTTGGGAGCATGTGCTTTTTGACATCATCAGAATGTCTGGAAAATGTTTGTTCCAAGTCCTTTCATTATTCCTCAGTTCTGGGATTGCCTCTGTAGTTTAGAGATAGGAAAGGAAAATGATAGAGCAGTTGCAGGACGGGCTGGATCTGTCTGTGAGTGTTTTACCCACCAAGCACAGATAAGGTTACAGCAGCATCTGTGTGTGGCTTCAGCACTCTGGAAAATTCACCTGTCATGACTCTGATATAAATGCAGACCACATAGAAACTTCCAAATACACTCCGATTCCTTCAGAAGCTGTACAGAGCAATTCTTAAGCTCCTCTTTCATTCTCTCCACTGAGCTCGTGTTGCAGGACTAATACAGAATGTGGCCAGAGTCTCATTTGCAGGCCAGGCTGGTTTGCATGAGCCACGCAGCTTCCCCAGTGCTCCCATGAGCTGAAAAGCAAAGCACTGCAAAAAGGTTGCATTAAAGCACCCTGGAGTGGATGAAATACAGACTTATTGATTCAGCTGCTAATCTGAAACTCAACCAGGTTGTCCAAAATGTGTGAATCTTTCAGGGACTCCTGGGTGAGTTTCTGCACGAAGTCAGGCTGGGTTCTTACCTTTGGTTGGAAATGAGCATGGACTCAGAAATCTGACTTGGAGATTTGGGAGCTGGTTATCTCCAAACTTCAAAGTAAAATCCCAGGGTTTACAACTGCATGCACACCTGGAAAAGTTTGCACAGCCCCCTGCTAGGCCAGTCCCAGGAGATGTTCTTTGAGCAGAACCTCACTTTGATCCTAGACGAATTTGCTTGTTGATGGAAATAACTTTACTGAGAAGCCAAGAGAGCTGAGTGTGCTGTTGTTTTCCCATGTAGCTATCACCTGTAAATCCCCACAAGCCATTCCCAACGGGAAAGTGGTGGGCTCGGATTTCAGCTGGGGCTCCAGTGTGAGCTATGCCTGCCTGGAGGGGTACCAGCTCTCCCTGCCTGCCGTGCTGACCTGCGAGGGAAACGGGACCTGGAGCGGGGAGATCCCCCAGTGCTTCCGTGAGTGGGCAACCAGCTGCCTCTTCACACGTGGGCTGGGTGGGGGACTGTGATTCAAACCCCAGTGTTTGATGCTCTCCAACATCTCTGGTCTCTGTGTAGCTGATTTTAGCATCAGCTCTGCCTTACCTGGCAATATCATAGAGAGGATGGATGGATGGAAGTTAAATATCTGGTTGCTGCACTTCCTGCCCCTAATCCCAAGGGAGGTCAGCAGGAGGTTTGTGTGTCAGGAGAAATGCATGATGCTGCTCAGAGTGCCTGTAGCCAGAAGTCTGGATGTTTTCCCCACCTCCACCAGCAGCCATGTTGCTGGGAGACTTGATTTGCCACCCCTGTAATGAGGAGGCAGTGGCAGCCATGGGGACATAGTCAGTCACTCCACCTCTTACAACAGGTCACAACACTCTGGAGATCTTGCACGTTCCTGTCCACCAGACATCTTCAAAACTGCCTGTTTGTCTGTCTCCCCAGCAGCTGTGTCTTCTGCAGTCAGGGCCCCTGAAACTGCCAAAGGCTGTAGGAAAAAAACTCTTTGGCAAAGGGCACCGTGGTGCTGCAGCAGAAGTTCTGGGGAGGCAGAGCTTTGGCTGGGTGGAAACCTGGGTGCTGGATACAATAGCTAATGCAAAAATGAATTAAAATCTTGGAATGCTAAAGGCAGGTTGGAGTTACTTTTCTTGGCTGAAGGGCTGGCAGCTGCACAATAGCCATTTTCATATGAAATCCCACAAAGCCCTCACTGTGTTCCTTGCACCTTTCCCTGGATCTGGTGTAATGAGTGGGCTCTGTGTGACACGGAACCACACAGCAGTGTGACATCATGCAATTAGAGATACATTTTAAAGCTAAGCATGCTGCTGGGGGGGGAGATGGAGGAGAAGGTGGAAGTTAATTAAGAGCAATGGATAAAAAGAGAGAATCACAAGGAAATAGCCAGCAATGCCTCCTGCCACTGCTGATTCCCCTGTCAGTCACGGGGTTCGATGGCAGGGATGGGGTTTGGGCTGTTAATAGACCCACCTTTAGCTGATGAGTACTGCTTGCTCTGGAGGAGGTTCATCACCCCCACGTGTGTCTCTGGCTGTTGCAGCTGTGTTCTGTGGTGACCCAGGGATCCCTGCCCAGGGCAGGAGGGAGGACAGAGGCTTCACCTACCGCTCCTCCGTCTCCTTCTCCTGCTTGGCCCCTCTCGTCCTGGTGGGATCAGCCCGGAGGTTCTGCCAGTCTGATGGGACGTGGAGTGGGACCCAGCCCAGCTGCATAGGTAAGGGCTGACTCCTCTGCCTTGGAGGCCTCACCTTGCTTTTCCTTTGGTGGCAAAGTTGGGTTTCTTTTCTGGGTTTGCAGAAATGGACATTTTGCTCCCCTGGAGATCAGAATGTAGAGGGATGGTGCTTTTGGTTCATGTGTACTGGCTGGTGGTGAAGAAGTCAACTCTTTGGGACTTGCCACTAAGATTCAGTGTCTGTCGCCATTGTTCCTGCCCCTGATGGGGGTCAATCCATAGTGCATCCAAGAAGAGGGTCTCCTCACTGTTACTGCATCTCAGCCCAGTGCCTGGGCTGCTGAAGGGCAAGAGGGAGAAGTCCCTCTGAAGAACACCCAGCTCTTGTGTATACTCAGATCTCACCCATTTTTGAGGTTGCCAGCACAGCAGAGCCCCCAGACACAACCAGAACACCAAGGTCCTGCCCTCCACCCTCTGCCATCCATCACCTGCTGCCTCATCCAGCCATGGGGCCCCTTATTTATTTATTTTAGACACTGTCATTTATCTGGGCGCTTCCATGGAAACTGCATCAGTGATAAATGACAAAAGCTCAGCAGAGCTGAATGACTGAAGATGAATGAGCTGGTGGCTGCAGCACCAGATCAGCCACATTTTGTGTCCCATCTTTAGTTACTCACTGCAGCTCCAAGGACCTGGGGACAACAACAGCGAGTGCTTAATGGTTCAGTGTCAGGAGGCCAATTAGTCAGATCAGAAGGAGTAAAGGTAGAAGAATAAACCACCGTGCCAGCAGGGAGACTTATCTGATGGCACTGAGATCCTGCTGTGCTCCAGCTCCTGCTGGTGGAGCAACCCCTGGCTGGGCACTGGAGCATCCCTTGGAGCTGGGAACCTGCTGCTGCTGAGCTGCCTCTCAGACAGAAGCTTGTTTCCTTTGCTCAGCTTGGGATGCTGACATTGCAGTGCCACATCTCTACCTTGATTCCTCTGATGCCCTGCTACTGTTGACATGCTGGGAATAGAAGGCAGTGATAGATGCTGGAAGAGCAGCAGCAGGTGTTCCTGTGGAATTGTGTGTCTGCATCTTCTGAGAGATTGAGAGCAAATGAGGGATTTCAGGAACAGAAGGATCCCCATGGGTTTCCCAATTGCTGTGTGTTCCTCTGTAGCAAAATATCTGTGTTGTGTTGCAAAGGCCCAGCACGATGCTCCCGAGCAGGGGCAGGCAGAGCTCTGATGTGGCTTCCACAACCACTGCTTTCAAACACTGCCTCTGCTCTTCTCTTCCAAGACCCCAGCCTGACCACATGTCCGGATCCCGGCGTTCCTCTCTTTGGGATGCAGAACAACTCCCAGGGATACCAGGTACGGGCACGATCGTGGGCCCCTCGGCAGCGCCCTGGGACACACTCTGCTCGGTCCTTGTCTGAGTCCTGACATGGGTTAATGTGTCCCCCCGTGAGCAGGACATCCCAGCCTGCTCTGTTAGACCTCAGAGTGCTCTGATACTGGGTTAACTAGCAATGCATAATTTATTATATTATTAAGGTGCTAATTAATCATTATTAGTGTGATTAGCATTCACATCGGAGGCGTAATTCCCATTCCTGTTCAGACCACATTCTGTAGGCAGTTTTCTTGATCTCAGTTCCTACACAGCATGAAATCAGAGGAAAGGAGAGAATAAACCAAAGTGATTCCCTGGGGTGCTCCATCTCCAGCCTCCACCGCCACCCCTGTGGGTGCCCATTCCTGCTGCCATGGAGCTGGGCAAAGAGCTGGGGTAGCTCATTCCATGGGGCTGTTCCTGCTGGTGTGGGTCTTTCAGTTTTGCTTCTAATTAGTTATCTTAATCCTGAGTTTTAATGACTTAATTCTAGTTTTTAATTAATACTGAAACACCTTAAATCTGACTTTTCTAAGGGTTGCTAGTGGGAAAGCTGCACATTGTAGTGGAGCAACCTGGCAAAAGCAGGGAGTGAGCTCCATAGTGTCATAGTGGTTTGGTTGAAATAATAAGAATTTAGTTGAAAACAAATGCAACAAAGTGGATAGTCTGGAAAAAGCAAGCAGACCTCAAAAATGTTGAGGTCAGGTTTCAGGTTTTGTGATTCTGTTTGCTATTCAAAGTCCAAACTGGTGTTTGTAGCGTGGCTGCAAGGGCAGTTGTTGATACTGACTATATCGAATATTATATATTGAAATTCCAGCCTGTGCTAACAGCACCTGTGTTTGCTGCTGCTGGGTGTATTGAACAGACAGAGCAGCCTTGCTCCCATCACTAGAACAAGCAACTCCCTGCTCAGTGAAAGGCCACAGCTCTCCAGGGGCTTTCTGGACACCCAGCCCTGGCAGGGTGGTGAGGGCAGAGGCAGGTGCCCGCCCTGGCCAGCACAGAGAAGATGGGAAATCATACAACTACTGTTGTATCACAAACATGGGTGACTCACGTAGCCCTGGGAAGCTCAGTGGTTGATCTCCTGTTGATACAGGTGGGAAGCATGATCTTTTTCAAGTGCCAGAAGGGATACCTGCTGCAGGGCTCCACCACCAGGACCTGCCTCCCCAACCTGACGTGGAGCGGCGTGCAGCCCGACTGCGTCCGTAAGTCTGGGAGAGGTTTTGTCCGGGGAACCCAGGGCCTTGAGCTGTGCAGTTCCCTCCTTTTGTTGCTCTGCTTCACCGTACAAATTGCTGGTTCTGAAGAGCTGGTCACTGGTGGAGAGCTCTTGAGAAAACCTAGTCTTGAAAAAATGGGAGATGAGACAGTCTCTTCTCTCCTGACACAGCTCCAGCAGCAGCCGCTTCTGGTTTCAGGTGAGGATTTTTACTTGTTTTACATAGTTTCAGGTGACTTGTTTTCTGCTTCTGAAACTGTGTGTGATGGCCAAGCTGTGAGGTGGCTTAAGCAAAGCTGTAGCCAGAAGGGCTCTCAGGCAGAGCCATGTTTCTCCTCATCTTTAACGTGTTGCTCTTTATTTAAGCTGTCTGTCATCTTTTCCCTGCTGCACCAGAAGGAGTTTAATTTAATATATTTAAGTGGTAATATCCATCACAGCCTCTGTATCAGAAATGTTATCAAGCTTTTCCCTTTCCCTTGTGTTAATTGGTGAGCTATTTTTCCATTACCAAACTGTGTATGTGCTGAGGTGAGCAGCCCAGCTGGGGCACCTGCCTTTAAAAACCTCTCACACGTAGCATCAGAGGAGAGGTGCATCAAAATAGAAGATGGTTTTGGCTCACCTGTGCCAGCAAGGATTGGGTTGTTGCCTTTAGGCTTTGTGTAAAGCCTTCTCCATCAGCTGCACTGAGTTGGATGCTGTTCCTGCTACCTCTCACACCATGTGAGTCCAGGTCAATCTTTCAGCTTTCTGGGTTTTATATTTTATCCTCTGGAAAACGAGGATGAAGATAATACCTCATGAAGGCTGCCAAGGATTGTTTTCATTCATGAGCAGTTTGAGAGCTACAGAAAGGGCGAATTTACAGCACGGGTGAAAGTGAGAATCCCAGCTCTGTGATTTATTTATTTGGTGTCACAGCTTCTCAAGGAAAGGGGTGACACATTTACAGCAGGACCTGATGGAGCAGCACAGGCACGTGCTGGCCCTGGTGGCAGGGAGCTGTGCAAGCCCAGCTTCCATTTCTGTGGGCCAAATCCTGAAAGTTATTGAGCAATTATAGGAATTTATGACTGTTGCACCCTACTGAGGACTCGCTGTGTGATCCCATGGACAGGTGGGTGCAAGTGACTAGTGGGACAGTGGCCTGTGAAGTGAGATGATACAAAACCTGACCTGTAATGCACTCACTGGAATCACTGGCTCCACTTACCAGGTCTTGATACCCTGTAAAGGCAAGTTTTGGTCTGGAGAGACACCTGGATCACACTGCTGGGGTCAAGTTTAAAGGAAGGAGAAAGGTGTATTTAGCATCATTTGGGTTTGACTTTTTTCCCCTTAAAAGGTGGGGAACAGCAGAGCCCAAGTGTCAGTTCATGGAAGCTGGAACCAAGCACAGGATCCCCTGAGATCTTTAGCCAGAAACAGCAATCTGGGCAGCAGGGCCTGGGAAACAGTCTCATTAATTCACCTGGCTGGGAAGAATCCAGACATGGCATGGGATTGTCTCCCTCAACAAGCAGAGAAGCTCCTGCTGCTCTTCTGAGAGATTTCTGTCCCTGCTGACACCAGTGTCCCCCTTCTGTCTTGCTGTGTGTGCCTGGAGGGCGTCTCTCATCACCTCTGTTCTCCTGGTGCTTTTCAGCTCACCACTGCAAGCAGCCTGAGACCCCCTCCCACGCCAATGTTGGTGCCCTGGATTTGCCATCTCTGGGCTACACCTTGATCTACTCCTGCCAGAGCGGGTACTACCTGACCGGCGGGTCCGAGCACCGCACCTGCAAAGCTGACGGCAGCTGGACTGGAAAACCTCCCATTTGCCTCGGTAAAAACTCCAACAGCACGACCCTGGGTTTGTGTTTGCCTGCACCTCTGCAGTGGGGAGAAAAGGGCTTTACTCCTAGACCCACCCCAGCAGATGTGTGGCTGCTCAGCTGAGCTGGCTGTGGAGACCAGAGCTCAGAGAGGTGCTGTGCAGGTCCTGGGGGAGAGGCAGTGAGGGGGTTTCCTGCCTGGTGGTTTGGATCTAGAAGCATCTGCAAAAGGCGAAGATTGTTCTTTGCCTCCCTTTGCTACCTCAGAGTCTTAGATCAGGAACAAGTCATGGCAGGGAGCTGTGTGGCTCTCGTGGAGCACAGGAGCTCTCTCTGCACACTTTGGTTGGGAGCAGGTGGCAGGAGGGCAGGAACTGAAACATTCACGCAGGCTGGGCAGGAACTCATCCAAAGCCCTTGTGCAGCCACGTTCTGTGTGAGCAGTGCCAGCCCAGGGCTGTCCTCTCTTACCACCAGCACAGCAGAAGTGTCTCAGCAGGCTCAGACACCCCAGTATTCACCAGCAGCTTGCTCCTCTCTTCCAGCTGATGTCCGCCCCAGCGGGAGGCCGGTGGGCACGGCGCGGGACCCACCGCTCGCCAAGGTGGCAGGTACAGGAGCAAGGCTGGCCCTTCCATGGCTCTGCCAGGCTAGGCCTGGACCTCACCAGGTCCATCCCCTCCCCAGGGCAGCCAGGAGCCTGGGTGTTCTTGTAGGTCTTGCAACTGCTGGGCTGGTGCAGGCAGCTCCATCCTGTGTGTTGCTGCTTCACTGCAGAACAGACAGGAGCCTGAAGGGACTTGGGCTCCAACATCCACCACCCTTCCCAGGGCACTCCAGGGAGTCAGGCCCTCAAGGGTGTTTTTACACTAGAGTTTTTTTTAAGAAAAATTGGTTTTGTTATCTTTTCTTAAGAAATTAATTTGGGGGTGGGTTGATTTTTAAAGCTGTAGTGGCGTTTCTTTGTCAAAACAACAAAACTGAAGTCACCAGCTGGTTGGTTCTCCTCTCCTTGGCTTTGTACTCAGTGGTGATACCACAGAGAGCGAGTGGGATTTGGGACATTTAAATACCTATTTCTGAATACAAAGAAAGAAAGAAGTTTGCTCTTATTTTGATTTCTGAAAAAGTGGAAACAAATGGCAATGTGTTTGTTTTCCTGTGTCCCCAACTGCTGTGGCTTCTAGTGCCTGCTGACGTGTTTGCAAGGAATTCCCTCTGGAAAGGCTCCTATGAGTACCTGGGGAAAAAGCAGCCTGCCATGCTGTCAGTCACCAGCTTTGACCCTGCCACCAGTAAAGTCAATGCTACTTTGATAGACCACAGCGGCGTGGAGCTCCAGGTGTCTGGTAAGAGCTGGTGAAGCCCTTGGTAGGGATCTACACTCATCAGAAGTGGCCTCACAGAGCGAGGAGCCGCGTGCTGGGCTGTCATTGTGTCCATGTTCTGAGAGAGCTTTGCAGAACCACCCAGCTTTGAAGGCTCCAGACTTTGATCAGACCAAGACAGAGTCTTGAGTTGACTCCACCTGAAGGGCAGATCAGCCCAGTCCCATCATCCATTCCCTTGGTGCTGGGGTGGTGGACTTTTAGCAGGACAAACAAGATCAAGTTATGTGAGTGCCCCTTGTCCCTCCCCTCCATGGAGCACCAGGTTGTTACTGATACAGCAACATCACCTAAACATTAACAACTGAGTCAGGTCCCATGTGCAAAATGTCTTCAATATCCTGAGGAGTGGATGTGGGACTGTGTGCTGGTCTGTCCCACTGGTAGGGCTGGTAGGAGGAGCTGTCCGCTCTAAGTTGATGAGGTGATTACTATCTCATGTAGAAAATTAATTACTTAAAACTCAGAGTCATTGTGATCTAGTGATTAAAGCCACTTGTTTTTCAGGCATTTACAAGAAGGAAGATGTGCACTTGCTCCTCCAGGTGTACCAGATAACAGGGCCTGTGGAGATCTTTGCCAACAAGTTCAAAACTGATAAATGGGCTCTAGATGGACACGTAAGTGCTCGGACACCTCGTACACAAAGTGCACCCACACATCTCCTCCTGCTGCTGCCACAACCCCAGCTTTTCTCTCACTGAAGCTGAGGGAAGAGCTCCCTTAGCTGGCAGCAGGATGAGCTGCTGTCCTCCAGTGACCTGCTTGCTTGAAGGGGACACAGGGCATTCTTCCAGCACACAAGGTAACATGACATGACAGTTGGCTCTTCCATGCTCCCTCGCAGCTGTATTGTGTTTTTTTTATTGCCCTATAGTTCCAAATCTGTAGCTCTCCCAGCCATCACTGAAGGAGAAACCAACACAATGAATCCCATTTTGACATTTTATATCCGTTAAACATCAAGGGAGAAGAGCGAATCTGCCCTTCTGGTGTCAACTTCTCACCCCAGTCTCTGTGTCTGCCAGCTTCCCATGCCCTTCAGACATCTGCTGGAGCTGGGAAGAAATGTGTCTGACTGACCCCTGGCCAGTTGTAGCCCAGAGCCTTTGCTGTCCCTGTTGAATCAGCAACAGGCTCTGTGGTTTAATGCAAACAAGATCCCCCCCTTCTTTTGACATGTGAGACTCTTCACAAGTTGTTGGGCAGTCAGACTTCTGAAAAAAATGCTGTGATTTTCTGGAGAATTGAATCAAATTAACGCTGTGCCTGAACCTGAAAGAGACAGTGACAAGTTGGGTGCTAAAAACCCCGGGAAGTGTTGAACAGATCCCTCGAGCCCCCCTCTCCTGTCCTTGCAGGTCTCCTCAGAGTCGTCAAGTGGCACCTTCGTGTACCAGGGCTTTGTTCGTGGCAAAGGCTTCGGGCAGTTTGGCCTCCAGAGACTTGGTAACTGCTTTTTTCCCTTGGTTGCTTCACCCTGTGATTGTGCTGGTAATGGAGGTTTTCAAGCAGGGAACATTTCTCCTCTCCCTGCCTTTATTTTTCAACCCATATCTTTCTAGCTGGTTTTGAACCCCCATGTTGAACCTGCTCCTTTCCAGCTCCGTCCCCACGTGTTGCTTATAAGGCATCTGGCAAACCCCAAACCAGCCACTGGGGTTGGGAAGTGGGTGCCCTCAAACCTCTGTATCCCAACTGGTGGCAGCTGAAACAGCTTTTGTTCTGTCACGGTTGAGGTGCAGTGGGGGCAGGCTGCACAGGGAGGAGGGTCTCTCTCCCACCCTGCAGGTTGTTCCTTCTTCTCCTCCCATTCCTCCCTGTAGGTTGGATGCAGCAGCTCTGCCCTGGCTGGTGTTTAAACACAAAATACATTGAACACTGGATATTCTGGCAAGAGCAACTAAACCCATCTTTAACTTGGATCATGCAAGATTTGGGGGAGACAAATAACACAATAGCATCATTTGTAATTTAGAGTCAAAGTGAGGCATTTAAACAAACAGATTTTGGTTCAAAGACAGAGTTTGGAGGCACAGAGAACACCTGGACACTTCTTTTTCTCCAGGTTGCCAGATGTCTGACCTAAAAGCTTGAGTCCCACTGCTACCACTTTCAGAAATCACAGAGGCACTTGAGAGCTTAGACAGCCCAAGGTCTAAGCTCCTAAATATCTCTTAAATTGTGGCTTGAGCTCTTCAATCTCTTTAGGATTTTTTTAATCTGACCTCCAAGTCTTGTCGCCTTTATGGGGAATTAGATGCTCATTATTGCAGCCTTTGAAAGTCTCCCTTAAAGCCTAACCTTAAGCATCCAAGTTTGAGCATTTTGGAAAGATAAATCTATGCACATCTCTCTTTAATTGCAGTTCTAAATAAACAATGCTGTCTAAGCTAGACTAGACCTGCAAACCATTCTTCATGCAGCTCAGAAGCTTTTGATTACCTTTTCCATCAACACTTGTAACCATCTTGTTCTGCCTTTGAAGGTTCCACCTGTAACAGAAGCAAACCCCATTTCCCACAGCACTGTGTTGAAATGTGTTTCCTTCTGCTGTGTTTCAGACATCAGCATGATGGAAAATGATCCAGAATCAATAGGACACCATTTTGCATCCAACAGCAGTTCTGTGGCAGCTGCCATTGCTGTGCCTTTCATAGCCCTGATTATTGCAGGGTTTGTGCTTTATCTCTACAAACACAGGTGGGTTTCAGGAGCAACAAAATGAGGGGCTGGTGGAAAGGTTTGTGAGCTTGACTTCAAAGCACTCCCCTTAGACCTGGTTTCTTATTTGATTCAGAAGGTGAAAAAATAATGGAGCAGAATGCATGGAGGGTCGAGGCTGTTAGGAGAGGAGGGTGTTGAGGGCTTTTATGGACATCAATAAGATCTGTTGCAACGTTAGGTAGGATAAGACAAAGTGAATTTCATACTTCAGCATCCAAGCTGGCTCTGCACAGCTCGTGGGTTAGTTCTGTCTCCTGGTCAGTGCAATGTTGCTGCTCTGCATGGTGCAGCCCAGCCCCTCTGCAGAGGGAGCAGCTCAGGGCAGAGCCCGGGGAGCTGCCAGTGCTGCCAATCTAGAGTAAGACGTTTCCACAGGTCCCTCTGCCTTACCCCAGGTGTCTGCCCTCTTCAGAAGCAGCTTTCCCTTTCCCCCTGACTTCTTGCCGTTCAGCTGGTGACAGCAGGAGCAGCCCTGACCTCTCTGGGTTTTCTCTCTGCCACCCTGCAGGAGAAGACCAAAAGTCCCGTTCAACGGCTACGCCGGCCATGAAAACACCAACGTCCGGGCGACGTTTGAGAACCCCATGTATGACAGGAACCTGCAGCCCACAGACCTCATGGCCAACGAGGCAGAGTTCACGGTCAGCACGGTCTGCACGGCCGTATAGCCCCTGCCCCGGTGAGTCGGGGGGCCAGGGCCTCCCCCCTCCTCCTGCTTCTCACTTCTCCAATGCTGCCTCCACGCAGGGGTTCAGAGGAGCCCCCCGAGTGGTTCTGCTTGCCCAGGAGATCCCTGCCAGACCCAAACCAGTGTCCCCAACTGGGGCAGGACCTCCTGGGGACCAGTGGCAAAGCAAATGCAAATAGCAAACCCAGTAGCTTAAAAGTTTTACTGCACAGGCACAGAGGTCACTTAATGTTGTAAACAGCAGCAGCCCGTGGGCCTGCAGAGTGTTTCTGGACCAAAGCCTGGGCACTTTGAGATAACAAAGCTGTTTCAGGCTTTCCCAGCAGTTCTGTGTGTTACAATAACCTGTTACCTTCTCTCTGTCCCTTCCTCTCCCATTGTCCCAGATTCCTCCTGGGGTCGGTGTTTAGTGGATGATTGTGTTTCACCTCACTGGTCTCCATCCATTCCCTCCCCATCTCCCTCCTCCCAACCTTGTTGAGGCTGTGGAGAAGCTGCTACACCTCGTTGGACTTTGTGTTAACTCCTGAGAGACTGCTGGCTTGTCCTCTGCTGCCCTCCCCCACCCTCTCCATCCTGCCGTGGATATTGAAGCCAACCAAAGGTCTGCTCAGCACAGCTCCTCTCCCACCCCACTGGGGATCTCAGCTCAACATCAAGCCCTGGGGAATGGAGGACCTGGGAGGAGAGGTGATGGGAAGGCTTTCGCAGCCTGCTCTTGGTTGTGTGTTTCTGGATGGGGCACTGGGGTGTCTGGGGTCCCACCAGTTCCCCCTCACTCTTGGGAGGAGGTTGGACACCAGAGGCAAAAGCAGGTTGCACTGCACAAGGTGCTGACTGGGGCTGGTGGGAAATGCCTGAATGGGGACAGGGTGGTGAGCACTGGTTTTGTTTGGTGTAGTGGGTTCTCTCTGTTGTTTTTTCTGACCCAGGGCTTTTGCAGAGAAGGGTTTTTCAAACGGGACCTTTTCAATTAGAAAAAACAAAACTTTTCAAGCTTTCCTTTCTCTTTCCCAGATTGAATTTTCCTTTGGGTGTTCTTGCTGGGTTTCTTCTGCCCCATGTTCTCCTCAGGCAGCTCTCAGGGCTGGTGAGGAAACATCCCCCATCTCTGGTCCTGTCCCAGCACTGCAGATTGTAGCTGTGCCCAAACCCCCCGAGCAGGGAACTGCTGACAGACACGAAGGGACAAAATCTGCTTTAAAAAGAACTCTAGCAAGTACCAGTTGCCCCCCAGTAGCATTCAAAAGCCTTTGCCCTTTTCATATTGATCCTCCAAATGACAATGCAATAAGAGTTTTAATTTCTATCCACAGCTGTTCCCTTTATTTCCCAGGGGCAGGAAGGTTGCCCAGGCTTTCAGGAGAGCAGATAAGGCGCCTTGACATTTTTCCTCCCTTATTACAAGAGGATGATGCTTTGGTGATGACACTGTCCTCCTCTAATAAAGAGGAGAGCTGCTCTTGTTGACTTGGGGCTTTAGTATGTTTGGTCTGAGTCCCTGTTTCTTAGGCCAGGCTGAATTAGGGAGCTCAGCCAAGCTGCATCACCAGCTGGAAGGGCAGGGAGGGCAGGGCTGCTGGTGCAGAGCAGTGGGTGTCAGTGCAGCAGCTGCTTCTTACAGAAGACTTGAAAGGAAAACAGAATGAAAGCAAAAAGGGTGGTGTTTACATCCATTTAAGCACTGGCTTTTCCCCTACCTAATGTCAGATGAGGTTTTTGTCTAATGAAAACCACAGGATAGGTTGGTTTGGGTTTGGGTTTTTTTCTGTTTTGTTTGTTCTTTTGCTCTGTGTGTGTGTGTATATATATAGTTATATTTTTTTTACTGCTGTCTCTTGTTCAGCACTCTTAGAGTAAGCAGCATTCTACAGCCTAACTGCTGAACAGCCAGCCTGCCAAAAAATGCCACCTCTGCTCCCCAGAGCATGCAGAGTGCTCTGATCTGTTCCTGAGAGGTGGGTGCATGTGTGAGCCAGAGCCCCAGGCCAGGAGCCTGCCCACTGCCTGCCCACTGCCTGCCCAGAGGTGGGCACCCAGAGATGGGCACCCAGAGATGGGGACCCTGTGCTGGCCCCTTCCAGAGCATGCCCTGCAGCCAGGAGCACTCCAGCTCTTGCCAGTGCACAGGCAGGAGGAGGTGGCTTCATCTTCCAGCTGGTTGTGGCACTAAACTGGGCAGGTCGGGTGGGCTGGCAGTGGTGCCTGCCCCTGCCTGTGCACCTCTGGCTCACAGGACATGGACCCCAGAGCAAGCTGGAGGGTGAGTGACAGGATGGGACCCTGACAGGGCTGAGGTGGCACTGGGGACTGGGGCCAGGGCACCTCTCCCCTCCAGTTCATGGGTGGAGGTGGGAGCTGCCTCCCATGACTGGGTGTTTCCCTGCTCCTTGCCTGGTCCCTGCTGCTCTCCTGGCCCGGGTTTCATCCCATGGGTCCCTTCCAACCTCAGTTACTCAGCAATTTGTGCCCCAGCCCATTCCCCAGCCCATCAGGCAGCCATGGGAGCAGATCCCAAGGGCAGCACTGTTCCCAATCCCTGGGGCTCCGGTGCCCACAGTCACCAGATCCTGGCTCCTCTTTCAGTATCCAGAACTCAAGGTGGGTAAAATGAACCCCAGAGATTTTAACACCCCATCAGGGAGGAGGGAGGCTCTGCTTTAACCAGACTTGCTGCTTTCAGCCCAGTAAGTACCATTTTCTGCTGTTGCCCAAGCAACAAAGGAGGTGGAAGGGGTGTTGTCCCATTTTTTTGCAAGCTGGCTGGGACCTGCTCCATCACATTCTCCATTCTTGTGCCCAGAGGACTTGCATTATGTTAAAAAATAAAAATAAAAATGTTTAAAAAAGGAAAACAAAAAAAAAAAAAGGAAAAAAGAAAAAAAGGAGAAAAAAACCCTCTTTTGTACAGAGATATATTTTTATGAATCAAAAGTTTGTACAGTAAAAAAGAAACAAAAACCACAATGTAAATGTTTTTTTTCATTATTGTAGTAAACAGTAGTGGGAGATCAGCTTTTTTTTGTAAATGTAATAAAATGTATAAATATGGTTTACAGAAAAGTGTAAATATGTAATCTATACATACACTTGGCTTGTCTGCAGTATATACAGTTTAATTTATCTGTCTCTGTATATGAGGCTTTCCATGGTGTCCAGACATACCTTCCCCAATTTGAAAGCTATTTTAAATTTTTGAATTAAAATAAAATATAAATTTTTGCATTGCTTTTCTTACATTTTTTTTCTGGTGCCTTTTTCCTGACCTGCCAAAGGTTTCTTCTAGGAGCCCCTGGATGCCCCCCACACACACACACGTGTGCACGAGGATGGCAGCACCAGCCTGACCTTGTGCTCCAGCTGCTTGGACAGCCATCCTGGCTCTCATGGAGATACAGGAGCAGTCAATGATTCAGGAACTCAGGCAAGACCCCTTCCCCATCACAGGTTTTCCCTCCCCAACAGCCTGAGGTGCCTTCAGGTGGCAGCTCCAAGCCAGCTGTGGTTCCTGGCTCACCCATGGGGAGCTGAACCCACCCAACATCTGGCTGCTGACCCTCTGGGTGCCCTCCTCTCCCTCTGCACTGATGGGATGGGATGTTATTCCAGCTGTGGGCTCCCCCTCTCCAGCAAGGAATGGATGCTGGCTGTGCCAGGGAGCTCCCAGACCCTCTCTCATGGCAGATCAGCCCCTGGGAAACAGGGACTTGAACAACATCCTTGAAGAAACAAACAAAGCTCTTGAGATTGGGATTTGTTTCTCAATATCTCTACTGAAGAGGAAAAAAGGGCACAACTGCCCACAGTGAGATTAGCTCCTGGAACTGCCTGTCTTCATCCAGCTCTGGGGCTGAGGCCACATCACTGCTTTTTCAGTTGGAAATTAATTTGGCAGAGAATTTTCTAGTTAGGAAGGAACATGGAATATACCCTGTTCACTGTCTCCTGCTGGGCTTCCCAGGAGTGTCTGAGGGTCCTGAATTTTTCAGTGATAAATAGGTGCATTTCCTTTCTGCTTTCCTCAGTGGAGTTTTTGGACATGGTTCAGCTCTATCCTGGATAAAGCCTTATCATAGGGATTCCCATGCCTGTGGTTTTCCTACTGCAGTGTTGGCTCAGCTAGAACATTGTCTTCTACAGTGTAGGGTTGGAGTCACTTTGCTGCAGCCCCATCAGGAAGCATCTGATGGCTTCTGATCATAGAAAGGAGCCTGGAGCATCCCATGGATATCCCCAGGTCGTGGGGCCTCTTGATGGCCCAGTGCTCCCTCCACATCCGAGGTCAGGAGGGTGGGAATGATGCTGCTCAAGGTGACACCACCTGGGCCCCCGTCCCCCTCTGATCCCTTCTCCCCTCCTCCAGCTGGGACTCCAAATGAGAGATTTTGGAGCTTAAAAGCCAGCGTTGTAAAACGAGACATCTGCATCAGGGCAAAACTTCAGCCTCTCTAAACCCCAGTGTGTCTGGCCCAGCCAGACAGCAAGTGGGTCCCTCAGTTGCTGCAGCCACCCCAGGAGAAAGAGCTTCCTGCTCCTGCCAGAGCAGTGCAGCCCAGCAGCCTGTGGGACCACCTTAAAAAGCTGCTTGTTGAGTTTCTGCTCTTCCCATCTGAGATATTCCCACTTCTCCACCTTGTCCTGGTTCCTCCCCAGCCCCTGGGGCAGGGCCAGGAGCATCCTCCTTGCTCAAGCCCAGTCCCACCTGCCTGGACCTGGGCACTGCTCTGGCTCTGGGCTTGGTCAGTCCATGTAAGACATGGAGAGATTCAAAGGTTTTGTGGGTCAAATCTGTCTAATGACCACTTGCCTGTGAGATGAACTGCAGCCCTGATGGTGCCTAATGACTTAGGTAAGATGAACGTTAGATTGTTCCAGTTTTCCTCATCAATTTTTAAATTCCATTATAAGGATCCCACTTGGTACATCACTCTCTCCAGGCTTGCAACTGCTCTTCAGCTCCCACACATGAGAAATTTAAAC